CTATATCCAAACTTTTTATTTCATCTATTAGAAAATATATAGTGTAAGACATTTGATTTATCCAGATTAAAGAAGCAATCTGGTTTTGCCTTATATGCAATTCAGAAAAATTCAATCAAGACAATTGGATTCTCTATATAGCAAGTATGACTAAGAACCTTATGTTCAACAGAATGTTTATTTTATTATAACAATATGAATAACTCAATTGACTTTCTTTTTGCCAATCTATAATCCCAATCTAAAAAAATAATGATTAATATAACAAATACTCTTAATTTAAAATTCATTAATCAAATACTAAAGTTTAACAGTACTATCAAACTTATGTGATCCCAACTTATCTTATACATAGGAATAATTTGTTTTGGTTTAGAACCAAATCGGTTTAAAACTTTTGCAAACAACAAAAACCTTACAGAATTGTATAGTCTAATTTTAAATTCCAAGACAATATTTTGATTTATACATGACTTGAATATAATAGTTAAGACTTACAAGAAATTATTCTCTATTCAAGAAGGAACAATACTCAAAGAAAACTATTTTATAATTGATCTAAATAGCAACTTATTCAGATATTTAGAATATCTAACTGGCACACAATCCCATAGCTTTGCTAAATAATGTTTACAAGCTCAATAGTATCAACATTATGGATATTATTCAACTTATTTATTATTATCAAATACTAACTACTAAATATTATTGATAAAACTATTAACTCATCATATAAAAATAAACATATTCTTTAAACAATTAATATTAATAATAACTTTCTTCTTGAGCAATGCATCAAAAAGTTGGTTTCTATTAATATTATTATATCTAATTTTATAAAAATTATTTAATTATCAATAAACACAAAGTAAAAACTTTCCAATGCTTATTTGGTTTCTAACAATATTCTATTATCAATACTTGATATTATTCAGTAGAGTCCCTAGTATAATATTATTGAAATCAAAAACAACAAAAAAAATTTTTAACCAGTATTAATACATTCCAGAAAAATAGTTAAAATTACTTTTTTTTCATTAATTCAAAAGATAAATCAAGTCATAAAATAAAAATCAATAGAAGTTATATACATCAAACCAAAATCCAAACCATATATAATTAAAACAATCCAATAAAACAATTTGCTATTGCATTTTTTAGAAAATTCTTTAGTTAACATTATATGCATAGGCAGTAGTATCAGATAATATAAAAAAATTTTCAATATTATTAAAAACTATATGATTTATAAAAGCTTTTTAGTTTTTCAAACCTTCAAATAATATCACACTTTATATGGCTTAAAAATTATTAATCAATCCAATAAAAATATCAAAAAAATATATAACAACAGATATAGTAATCTAATAGCATTCATAATCAAGCTACTTTCAGAAATTCTTTCAACTTATCAAATACTCCATCAATTCTATTCTGATTAGTACCCAGACATGTATTGTTTAAGATATAAGTTTCATATTAAGAATATTTAATGTGTTTTCAAGTGCTTCAAAGCCTTAGAAGAGGCCAGCCAGATTATAAACAACATTAATCAAATTCTTTACTCCAACAATAATTTTAAACTAATTTTTTATATATGACAAGTAATATAATTTTCATGTAATATGATTAACAAAATTTTCTTTATAGCAGATATCACTAATTAAATTAAGGTATCTACAGAATCCTTAGCTCAATTATATAACTTAATTTGGAAATCATGTTGTAATACTGTCAACATATCAGTTCTCACTAATATTAAATAAATTTCAAGCAAATTATCAAGTACTACTAATCCAATTAGATTAGAAATAGCTATATTGTCTTTATAAAAAATTTATATTCCAATACTATTCAAAATAAAGTTATTATCAACCTACCTATAATAGTTATTAACTCTTTTATTCAATATAATTATAATTATTCCAAATGTATTTAAAATTTAATATTATCTCTATTCAGTACTATTTTTTCTAATATTGAGTAGATATTTATAGCTGTTTAATATTACATGAAAAGATATATTGTTTTAAACTTTCTTTTCAATATTAGTCATATGATTACAATAAGCAAACTAATATTTACTTATTGTATTAATATATAAGAGATATTGTTTCTTTTATAATGTATATCTTATTATATATAAAAAATTAATAATAAAATTTATTAATATTTAAATAATTTGTTTTTAAAATATTTATAATTTTTTTAAAAATATTGTTATTGTTTTTGAATTATATAAAAATAATAAATGTTTTGATTTTTATATATTTTATTTTAATTAAAAATAATGTAGTAATTTCAGATTTTTATTTTAAAATTTTGTATAATATTTTTAAAAACTTGTTAAATATATTTTTTTATATCAAAAATTAATTAAATATATAATATTTAGAAATAAAGATTATATTAATAATAAGACTTCAAAAAAATATTCAATTGATATTGAAATAATATTGAAATAATACTGCTTTATAGTAAATTTAAGGTTTGAATTAATATCAAAGTAATATTGTTAAAAACTTTAATTAATATATTGGAATATATTGTTATATAAAAAATTATTGTTATTATAATTTATTTGAATTAAATTAATAAGTTTTGATTTTTTTTATTAATATATATATATATTGTTATAGAAATATAATATACAATTTAAAGTTTCTATCATTAATATATAATAAAATATAAAATATTTTTTTTAGAGGTTTAATTTTGTAAAAAGCTGGAATATTGAGAGATTTTATATTTAAATTAATTAGTTTTTTAATTTTTGTTTGTTTAATAATATTTTAAAATTAATCAATAAATCTAAATTTATAAAATGCACTTATATTAAAATTGCTAATTAATTATAATATAATAAAATACAAGAGTATTAAAACTGGCAATAACATGTTTAAGAATATATTGTTAAGAATTTTATTATTAATTTTCATTTTTTCCAGATAATTATAAAGTTTTTAAAGTTGATTTCATTATTAATTATATAAATACAGTATGTTTGAAAAAAGATAGTTTAACTTGTTTGTTAATGAAAATAATAATAATTTTACTAAGAAATTTAAAAGGATATTAAAAGATAACAAGAATTTATTATTTTTATATTATAATTTTAATTGAATTTTTTAAAAACTAAGGAAAAAAAAATGGGTTTAAAATAATTTTTTAATTAATTGTAGATTACTTTTACTCTAATTATTTATATGTGATTTATTTATTTATACAAAAAATTAATTAAAGAATTATTTTTGATGCACTTGAATAATCATTAAAAAAAACTTCTATATATAAGAAAAAATATATAATTACTTATATATTACTATTATAATTGTTTCTGAATCCTCAATAGAAAATGTTTCTATAATTTTTTTATGAATGGTTATTTAAAATAATAAGAACTTTTACAACTTGAATTTAGAAATATATTGTTTAAAAGTGGCTGTTCCATTTAAAACTTTATAGGTGTTTTAATAATTTTTTAATAAATAAAAATATATTATTATAAGAATATACTGTATATAAAATAAGAAATAATAATATAGTATATTAAATAATTAAAAAATTTTTTTTAATTTTTATCAACAATACCTTGTATCACAAAATTTAGAGATCTTATCAAATAAATAGCTTTAAATATTTCAAGTTTTAAAAGTCTTAAAGAAATATTATTATTTTTATTTTTATTTATAAAATAAATTAATTCAATCCAGAGCACAAGTGTATGAATAAATATTTTTTTGTTTTCTAGTTTTAATTAAAATTAAAATTTATTTACGTTTAAAAAAACAAAAATATATCAAGTTTATAAAATCGTCTGTAATTATTTAATTTGTCGATTATAAATTAAATTTGGGAATTATTAATACTGTAATACTTATTTTAAAATTTTTTTAAAAAGCGTTTATTATAAATTCAAATATTAGAATAGTAAGATTACCTATTTCGATATAATAAAATTAATGGTATCACTGCAGTGTAAACAATATTTTTAAATATTAATATAAACCTGCGGAGGCCGCTTTAACCTTAAAAAAAAAAAAGTAACAATATTAAATATGCAATAGATCGCAACAAAAAGCATCAGTTTTTAATTTGTCAAAATAACTTTGTTAAAAGTTACCGATCAAAATATATTTTTTGCATTTTGCATACCTTTGAATGTGGAGATTTCCATATTTGGATGACGTGCTTGTGCATGCGCGTTGGCGTGAACTTACGTGCGTACGCAGCTGCGTTGAAGCTGAAAGGGGATATTCGATAAAAGGTAACGAGATAATGAATGCATTTCTCCGGAGAAATTACAAACGTTACGTATATTGTATAATTTTGTGGAATTTCCAAAATGTTGGACGCCACATTATGTGGAAAGAAAATTTCATATAGTATATCGTTGATTCATCCCCTTCCACGTTATTTTGTTGATTTGTACTATTTTCTACAAGATGCTTAGACCATGTTGAACTAACTATAACAGCTTATCATAAGCATCTTTGTTACTTTGTCTTGGCATATTTTTCGTCTTGATACTTTTTTCAGTAATATCTTTTTATAGCACATATCTTCTTCCCATTTGATGCCATAATTCATGGAGAATGAATAAATAACAAAGGAATTAACCGAATAATGAATTGGTGGATAATGAAACGCGTAAATTCTAGAAAACAAGGTTCGTTAAATTTTATTATATCATAAAATGAATTTATGAATTAAATGTAATTTGGATTGGTTATTAAAGGAATCAAAGAAATATAATTTCAAAGTAAAGCTTAATTAAACAAAATAATTAGGAGTATTCATTTCGTTAAAGAAACTTTTCATTATTATATCCGGCTCACTATCGATTCGCATGCCACAAATCTACACAAAGGACAAAATTTTATAAATGCCTGCGAGCTGTGAAGAAATTTCTCTACCTATTTCCAATTATCTAACGGCGATACGGTTAAATTTTTACGAATCGAATTTTTGAATATCATCGAAATATTTACACATTTGCAATGTCTGATGAAAAAACATTTGCGGTCGTGCGCCAAATGATACGGCAAATTTTACGCTGCGAATTTAGGATTCCTCGTTCTACCTCCGACGATATTCTTAAGGAAACGATAGGAGCCCCATTTTCGCTTACTGACTTCGTTTTGTACGATGGAAATATGGTCATTCCTTGTATTTATGACTCGTTTGTCCAGGGTGGAGTCTTCGAAATTAGACCCCCAGGATCCGCCTTACCTAACATCGACAACAACCGTGTTATACGACCAGGACCTGTCAATGAAAATAGGTCGGTACGCAAAAGAAATGCATGCATCAAATGCTTCAAAATGAAAAGAAAGTGCGTACGAATAAACAATGGAAATTGCCATAATTGTCAAAAATTGAGAATCGAATGTAAAGCTCGTTAATCACGTACATAAAAATTTCTAAGTACCGTATGACTTTATTAATTACGAAGGTTACAAAGTAAACAGTATACTGTATGTATGAACGAGACTATAGTCACAAACTATAAGTTTTAGCTTTCTTCAAACTATGTATTTACTTTCTAAGGTGTATAAATACTATTTTACCTCAAATATAAGATATATTTTTTTGGTGTACACCTTGTTATTTATTGAAATAAATGTTCAATATACAAAGTACGTATACATGTCATCGCTTACTGTTTCGATTTCGCCGGCCTATTGATGTTCGTCGAGAAAATTTCCATTTACTTGTTCATTGAGTAAGACATCGACGTCAAGCATAATTCCGACCCTTCTACATGCGATACCTTCTTGGCGTTACTCAATATTTCAATGCAAACCTACCTTTCGAATTCACAACAATAAATGCTTCCATCGAAACTCTCCAAAACGAAATTAATCGACATTATGCGGTTGTCCAGGCACGAAGTGTTATTTCTCCCGAAATAACAATCGAAGAAACAGAACAACTCATCTGACCAACAAATCAATCCGAAGCTTCTGGTTCGAGCCAATAATCATTTTCGGATATCACCTCTACAATGTGAATGTGGAATCAGTTTAATATTATTTTTAATAGAATCATGGTAGAAGGAGGATACAATATTCTTTTGACGATATGTGTAATATTGTAATAGTTGATATTCTTAATCTTAGAGTGGGAAAACTTGGTAAAGATATAATTTGTCATCATAAAAATCCTCAAAAGCGGTTTTTCCATCCACGTCATTATGGAAAAAGTTGAAATGTTCTTCTCACCCTCGCCTGGTTTGCTTACGCTACAATACCTTTAGTGTGTGCATTTTTCGGTTGGCTGGTCTGTATGCCACATTCCCACACTCTACAAATTCTGTTAACAATTCTGTTACTTTCTTTGTCACCTCCCTAACTTATTTCCATTTCGCATTCTCTAGGCTTTCGCTTTTGCCTTTTTTACTTCGATCTTAGCAATCGTATTTGGTACCATACTGTGGAAAGGTGAGAATTATAAAATTGATAAAAAAAAATTATAGTTCAGTGTCGTTATATAACCTAATACTTTTTATACAGCAATAACCTTGTTCAATCACTATCTTTCATCCAACAAGTAAGTATTACATACGTATAATGTTATCTGGGTATTAGTAAAAATTAATTACCCATTTTTATATTATTTTATGTCTGAATACTCTAATTTCGCAACTGCTAATGAGGCGTTTAAAGCCATTTTTTCGCAAGCCTCTGATGAAGAAATTACAAAATACGAGAAGCAACTTGATACTGTAGTGTGGAAATTCTCGACCCAGTCCCTATAATTACCCTAAATCAAAATTGGATCTATCAGCATAGTTTGCCGGCTTATAACGCTGTCATGGATGCTTTTGCAACAAACGGCCTTCAAATAGGCACAGAGATAAGAACTCTCATAGCATTATTCACTTCACAGATAACGAGGAACTCTACATCGTACGCAACAATATTTACAATATTATCCCCATGCCTTCTGTGTTCCTTCTTCCCTCCAAACTCAACTCCCTAATGCTCAACTGCACCCCGTTGGAACGGCCTGGATATTAACAAAAGTGATAGTACTTAAAAGTAATTTCAGGGAAGATAATAGGTTCTTTCATATCAATTGAGAACCTAACTGGGATAAGCGAAATCTCGATCGTCTTTTATTAGTTGTGTGTTCGCATATGATTTTCATGTATAATTTTCTGCTATTAATAACTACTGTAACAATCGTCCGCGAACCTGTCGCTACGAAATAACATAATTCGTGGACTTCGAATTACGGTGAGTGTTCTAAAGAGTGTGCGGCGGGTTGATTTGTTAAGGATAAAATAATTAATTTTTTTATTGATCAGATATTTTAAAAACCCGTCAAAACCGTTCTTTATAATATCACATTTTCTCTTTTATACTTTACAATTTACATAATCAAGGGTGACTATGTTAATACATGACAATAAACGATTATATTACATAATTATTTTTTCACAATCCTTCCCATTAGATAATCGTGCACCGACAGGTTTTCTCGGCGATCAGTCACATGACGAAATTCGCGTTCCAATTTCTCTTGTTACACTACATATGATCGCACACTTTGTCCCAAAGTATAGGCTAAAATCAATCGATGTAATTTAATTTGATTTTTCACCTTGTAAGGGGTAAGTTGAGACGCGACACACATCACGTGACTGATCGTCGCGAGGAACCTGTTCTTGGTTGGCATTGCACGATTATCTAATGTGGGGAAAAGAAAGAAGTGATTGTGAAAAGGGGACTTATGTAATAGGACTTAGCTTACCTATTGTTATTAAAGTATAGCCGCACTAGCCTCTGTAAATAGAAAGAGATGTATAAAAAGAAGAGACAAGCATTAATAAAAGAGGACAAGACCTATTATACAATAAATTACTTGACCAAATCAAAACACGCCTCATTCACCTTAAGTATTACTCACCCTATTCGTGGTTACGCGAAATCTTATCATCCTGAGCGACTGACTCGCCATTACACCCCCACAACATATATCTGTATAATCTCACTTTTTGTTAAAGCTCATGATCAAGTAGTTCTGATGAGTACCGTAAATCATAAACCATTTAAAGCTTTAACCCTATTCATTAAGACCTCAATTCTCGAAGATGCTCTGAAATAACTATATACGGTTCTTTGTAATATTAGACATCTTAAAACAATCCAGTTTCTTCGTAGAGTTCTTTTTTGATCTGACCACACGTCAACTGTTTCCGGATATTTGTGAAAATACTTTATATGTTGCTCATGCTGTTTACCTTGTACTTTTATAGCAAACTCTTACTGTAGATAGTAGATGTCGAGTCCTAATCCTCGAGGATGTTTAGGCATTTTCAAGAAATCTGGTCGGCGAATGTTGGAAAGTGAACCAAAAATGTTAGTTACGACTTTGTGACATAGGTTTTCGTGTTTATTTAAGCAATATGGGCACCGAGACTTAACATGCTTGATACTATTAAAATTAGCGAACCATTTACAGCATGACCTTTATTACTGTACACATCCATCGGAACACAAAGATTTACAATATATATTCTGTAGAAAGACAAATATCTCCTCTATTGTGAGTGATTTCCTTAGCTTCCGAAAGACCACAGTGAAAATTACCAGCACATTGTGAGCCCCGTCTTCCCATATCTTTTATTCAATAAAGAGTTCAAGATCTTTGGCACATCTCCAAAGCATTTGAGTACTTGCATTGACATATTCTGTAGAAAGGTACTTACCACCTCGTTTCTGTGCAACACCATATGCTATATCAATAGGTTGATATACAACATATTCTTGATTATATCTTTGTATCGGGATAGTTTTTTGTCTGGTATAACATATGTTTGACCTAGTGTACTGCATCTTCGACACCAAGCTTCCTTAAGAATATTTTTTGCCGAAACCTTCCACCTGTGACCTTCTTTACACTGCCATTCAAAAGGATCCCGTCTACTGCATTAATATATCTGTTGGAAGGCAAAGACCACCTTTTCTCTCTGCAATCTTCCTCATATCTTCAATCATTTGTGTACGACGATTTTTAACTGCACACCATACGCATCACGTTTTGCTATTCTTAACACAATTAAGATTTGCAGACCATAAATAATCTTTAGCACATTTCCAAATCATGACATCTGATAATTGATATAACTTTTAGAGATAAATTCACTTCCTCTATTATGTACAATTTCTTTAGCAATATCTAAAGTTATTTTTTCCATCAATATTTTACGCTAAATTTTAAAATGCCGGTGGAAAACATTATATTATTTTATTTCGGGCTTTATTCCTCCCTTAAACGATATCTACTTAATCGTTTACAACATTAATTAGCCGGTCTACTACTCTCTTATAACATATTCATTTTTTTAAAATAGTTTGACTGGTCAAGTTCGATGATTATTACCTTTTAATATTGTATACTGGGTTATCTTTTTTTTCGCTGGCGTCTGCATAATAAAAATGGTTGTGTCTTATATAAAGTAATATCTAATATTCAATCCAAAATCGATTTGTTGCAAGAATTAAATTTGAAGCTTTTAGCGAGATTGAACTTAGAAAGCAGAATTTCGAGGTCAAGGTTGAGAATGCGAAATTAAAGTGAGCTATGGTATAGAAGAAAATGTTGTGCTTAAGAGCAGAATCGAGGAGTTTGAGAAAATAGGGGATAGTGATATCGAGAATGCCGAACTTAGAGCTAGAGTTGTGAAATTAGAACATGATTTCAGAAAGTCACAAAGTGAGATTTCTCTCGAGGAAGCCACAAGTGTTGATATACCTAGCTCCGGTCAGAGTTTTAATATAAACTCTGCGCCATGTCACCAAAAGATAAGGAGATTGGTGAATTCATGGATTGAAAATATACTGAAAATAACAGTAATGAGATGAGAATAATTGAAAAAAAAATCCTTATATATCAAAATAAAATTTAAAATCTAGAAATTTTTATTAATATACTGTAAATTAATAGCAAATTGTTTATATGTTTTTTATTGAATTTATGAAATCTTATTTGAAATTTTATTTTATTCTTTTATCACAAATTGTTTTAATTCTAAAATATTTTTAGATAATCTTATTTCTATATTTTTTTAACAATAATCCAAAAGTTTTTGATAGAATTTTAGCCTGGACTATTAAATAGCCAATCTATAACTTTGGAAATTTTTATTAGAAATTTTTATTGAAAATATTTTGACAATTTGTTTATGCATTTTGGATTATTATTATATCAAAAATAAATTTATTTCCAAACAATTCAATAATTTTTAATTTATGTTTTAGTGAAATATTAACTTCAAGTTTTGCATTTATAATTTTTTTTAACAGACCTGTATGTCCATAGTATAGTGATTAGTGCTTCACGAATCTGATCACAAGATACTAGTTCAACTCTAGATAAAAGTAATTAAATATAATTAATATAATATCTGATATTATAATCTGTTAAGTACTGTTTTTTATAAGAATTCAATTCATATATTAATCCAATAGGCATTGAGATTGAACTTAATTATAAAAAGTATTATAATACAATAAACATTTGATTAATGTTATAATAATTACTAAAAAATATAAAAAGTGTTAAAAATATTTAATTTCAAGTAATAATGGCTTAGTAATCTGTTTCTCATAATAGCTAGTATTTTTTCTTATAGAAATTATTATAAAGATCTTATTTCTGATTATTTTAATAATTGCTTTTTCAAGACTGAGCTGCTGCAATAAGTTTCAATAACTGAAATAATCTATAAACAATTTGTTAATATAAGTACTTAACTATTTATATATTTAGAAAATAATTAATATGAGATTTAAAAAGTTTTTTTAAATAATATTTTATTTATCAAAAATAAGTACCATTTTTGGTTCCTTATATTTTAACTTTTTCTTAATTATTCTAATATTAAATAAAATAAATTAACAGAATCTTAATATGTTAGCTTCAACTATACTACTTTAATATAATATTAACAATAACAAGCTAATATAAAATAAAATTAATATAATCTAATAATATATATAATTATATATGATTGATTATAAATAGTAATTCTTATAATATATAAAATTTATATATGAATAAGATAAAAATACACTAAACAAAACTTAACTGGTTGAATCAAATATATATATATTGTTAAACCTAAAATTTTAACTTTTCCGAAATAGAAAATTTCATACCAAACATTGATCTATCACATTAATTCGCTAATAATAGACCTATAGTATTTTTATCTGCTGAACAACTTTACTTAGAACCTGGAAAAAGGTTTCGGTCACCACTTTTGCGATAATCAAGGATTTCGGTCAAACGTTTATAGTATCCAATTAAAATATA